AGAAGATTTCAAAGAATGGCTTGAATAGACAAAGTAAAAAATTATAATGAAATGTGTAAACACCTGGAGTTAGAAAACCAAAAGGAAAAAACACACTTGGGATTTCAAAAACTGAAAAAACTGAAGGAAAAAATTGAAGACTTGAGTTATAATATTGAAGATTTCTACAGGCAAAAAGTTGAACCATATAGGAAGTATCAAAAGAAGATGGAAGGAAAATACAGAATCATTCTACCAAAAATAAAGAGGTAGTATGCCTAATGCATTTGATTGCTAACCAGAAAGTTGGTGGTTCAAATCCAGTCACTCCTCGGAAGGAAGGTTGGGCAACCTACTTCCGTAGTGACACCGCCTTGGAAACGCAAGGAGGGGTCACTATGAATTGGATCCGACTTGATGGCAGTGAGTTTGGTTTTATATAATCAAGAATTGATAGCACTGAAAGAAGAAGTACAAGCTGTTCTGAAGGTGTTGATGAATAACAAGGCTCCAGGAATTGAGGAAATACCAATTGAGATGTTTCAACAAATGGATGGAACACTGGAAGTACTTACTCATCTATGCCAAGAAATTTGGAAGATAGCTACCTGGCCAACCAACAGGAAGAGATCCTTATTTATGCCCATTCCAAAGAAGAGCAATTCAAAAAATGTGGAAATTATAGAATAACATCATTACTGTCACATCCAAGTAAAATTATGCTAAAGATAATTAAAAAATGGTTGCTGCAGTACATTGAAAGGGAACTACCTGAAATTGAAGCAGGATTCACTTGGAAGAAGGGTATCATTGCTGGCATCAAATGGATTTTGGCTGCAAGCAGTGAATACAAGGAAGATGTTTATCTGAGTTTAACTGATGATGCAAAGGCATTCGATTGTGTTGGTTATGACAACATATGGATAAGAATGTGAAGAATGCGATTTCCAGAACACTTAATTGTAATCATGACAAACCTGTGTGTAGACCAAGAGGCAGTTATTTGAACAGAACAAGGGTGTAACAAAAATGCAAAATGCAACCACTGCCGGGAAGTCAGATCGACTCATAGCGACCTGTCCTTGGTTTTCAGAGATGTTATTACTATGGAAGTAGATTGCCCAACCTTCCTTACAAGGAGAGGCTGGTGGGTTTGAACTGCCAGCCTTCTGGTTAGCAGTCAAATGCCTTAGGCACTATGCCACCACATGGTTTAAAATCAGGACAATGTTTGTCAGGGTTGTATCCTTTCACTATACTTATTCAATCTGTATGCTGAGCAAATACTCTGAGAAGCTGGACTATATGAAGAACACAGCATCAAGATTGGAGATATGCAATGACATAATCTGGCTTGCTGAAAGTGCACAGGACTTGAAGCACTTACTAGAACAAAGACTACAATCTTCAGTGTGCATCACATCTCAACATAAATAAAACAAAAATCCTCACAATTGGACCAATAAAAAAATCATGATAAACAGAGATAAAATTAAGTTGTCAAGGATTTAATTTATCTTGGATCCACAATCAATGCCTATAGAAGCAGCAGTCAAGAAATCAAATGACATATTGCATTGGGTAAGTCTGCTGAAAAAGACCTCTTTAAAGTGTGAAAAAGCAAAGATGTCACTTTGAGGCCTAAAGTGCACCTGACCCAAACCATGGTATTTTCAATGATTGCATATGCATGTGAAAACTTGACAATGAATAAGGAAGAGCAAAGAAGCATTGATACATTTCTATTATGGTGTTAGCAAAGAATATTGAATATACCATGGAATGTCAGAAGAATGAACAAATTTGTGTTGGAAGAAGTATAGCCACGATGCTCTTTAGAACAGACAATGGTGAGACTTTGTCTCATGTACTGTGAACATGTTATCAGAAGACACTAATCCCTGGAGAAGGGCATCAGGCTTGGTAGAGGGTCACTGAAAAAGAGGAAGACCCTCATTAAGATGGATTGACAGTGGATGCAACAGTTGGCTCAAACATAGCAATGCTTGTAAAGATAGGGTATGACCAGGCAGGGTTTTGTTCTGTAGTACATAGTGTTGGTAGGAGTTGAAATGACTCAACAGCACCTAACAGCAATAATAAATAACAATAATAGTAAAAGCGCAGATTGCCTTGAAGAGACTGTTGGTAGAATTATGGACCTCAAAGGCAATTGTTTAGTGGTCAGAAGGAAGTAAGCAGAGATATACAGAAAGTCTCTTATCATCTTAAAGAATACACATGGCACCAGCAACAGAATATTGCTAGAAATGGGGATGTTAAATGTGCTTCTGGTGAGGTTTTAAAAGATAATGATGAACATGTGATTGGACAACAGATGAAAGACGATGTTTTCTATGCAGTGGCAAAGAACTCGTCTGAATCATGTTCAAATGTTTTGTGGAAAGCAGAACTTGTAGGTGATGAACTTGCATGTCTGTCTGATGAGATTCCTAATGAAGATCTTAAAGCGGCTTATCCTTGCCACTTATAGTAAAATGTGAGGGAAGAGAAGGACTTAAACATGAACTGTGTAAAATACAAACAGAATTTAATTCTGTTGTACAAACTGAGGATATGTGCCCTAGAATGTTCACCAAGGACATGGCTACACAATCTCTGTTAAAGAGATTAAGCCTGTGACTGATGGACCTAATCAACTACCACAGCAGAAAACTCAGTTTAGACTGAAAGGGGCACAGAAAAAATTAAAGGAAAGAACACTGTTTGACACTTGGAATTCTATAGGCAGGAAATAGGCCAAAGGAGCTGCATTCATTGTCCTGCAAGACAACAGGAGGACCATCCCTAGAGCAGCTTAGAGATCAGAACTGTTGGAAGGAGCATGGGAAGTGGAGCCTCCTAGGTTTCAAAGTCAGATATTTGCCAACTCAGTTCCGGAGTGTGGAGATGGTGTTAAGGAGTGCCGGAGGGATGGGGCTACTGCCCAAACCTGAGGTGGGGCTGCCATGCTCAAGGGGCAGAAAAGAACAGGACTTGCTGGAGCCGAGGAGTCTCAGATGGACTAGGAGAATAGGGACACCTAAAGCTGAGGGTGCAAAGTTGCCATCCAAGAGGACCTGGAAGGCAGAACTGAAGCCCAGGGCCAAGGGGCCTCCACCTAGGATGCAGAGGGCATAGCCAACACTGAGTCTGGAGGGTGAGGCCGTTGCCCAGATGGTCTCAAAGAACAGATTATTTTCAAAGCTTGAAAGCTAATTTTTTTCTGCTGGATTTTGGACTTGTTTGGTGCCCATTATCCCTCCCCATCCACCCCCAATTTCTCCCATTTGTAATGGAAACCTCTACCTTGTGCCTGTTTATCATTGTACTTTGGAAACAACTTGTATTCCAGATTTCACAAGTTCACAGATGAAGAGGAATTTTGCCCCATGATGGAATACACCCAAAGTCTCACCCATACTTGATTTAGATGATTCAGAAGATGAGATTTTGGACTTGGAGTTAATTTTATTGCAATGATGTGATGGAATGAAAGTGTTTTGGATGTGCAAGGATATGAACTTTGGGGGGACAAAAGGAGGAATGTCATGGACTAATTTGTGCCCCTCCAAAACATGTTGTAAACCCTAACCTCTGTGCCCGTGGTTATAATTTCATTTGGGAATGGATTGTTTTATGTTAATGAGGAAGGAGTAGTGTAGGGTGAAAAAAAAAAAGCAAACTAGAAAGAGAGACAGGGTAAGCTAGATGTCAATACACACAGAGATCTTAAGGAACCAGGAAGCAGACACTGAAGAGACAAGGACCTTCTTCTGAGCTGACACAGAAAGAAAGCCTTCCCCTAGGGCTGCTGTTCTGAATTTGAACTTCTTGCACAGTTTAGAACTGTGAGAAAATAAATTTCTGTTTGTTAAAGCCATGCACTTGTGACATTTCTGTTATAGCAGCACTAGATAAGTAAGACACTTTGTATTTTAGCTAGTTTTTTACAAGGCTTGGAAACACTCAAGTCAAATTCTACGTTTTTAAGTGTGTATCAGTTTACCAAGCAAACATTATCCCAAAGGCTTTTACAAGTCAAGCAAAGTGGCTACTCCTGAGAATAAGTATCTTCTTGCATTCATCAACTGGGGAAGCAGTTACTCCCTATGCATACTTTAATGTTCCTCAGTCTCTATTTCATCATGGTTTCTCTGATACTTTGGCAGACTAAATAAATATCAAAAGGGCTTTGTATGATGTCAAATTTGAAGGCTAGCTAGCGACAACCAATATTTCTTTGAGTATGCGTGAAAAAATTACTAATTTAAAATATGGAAAAAGCTCTGATTTTTATCCAGCGCTGATATATTAATGAAATAGTTTCCAATTTAGATTAAAAACCCAGTAATAAAAACAGTATTTGTATTTTGTTAAAAGATCTATTTCAAAGATAAAACTAAAGTGTGCTTCTTTAGCAGATTAATTGCTTCAAGATCATCACTTTAATAACATAAAAGCAAAATGGAAGTTTTAATGTTTCTTTTCTAGCTGTATCACACTGTAACTTATTCCCACTAGTGAAGCAACTCCAATTTTAAAAGTGGTTATTACCCACACCCTTTCTTTGAGTTTTACTATAAATTACTATTAGGAAAAAACTGCAAATTGAAATGTTACTATTCTGCAAATTCATACTCCACATTAAAATTTTAGATAATCTTGAATCTATTTTACTTAGTTGCCACTTATAATCTTAGTATTTAATAAAACTTATTAAGCAATAGAATGTTTTCACTTATAGAATACTGGTTATACAGAGTAGTAATACACTATGCACATGACCTGCTAAAATAAAATAGATTGAGGAATTACATTGTCAGACTGCTTTAAAAACCAGAAGACAGGAATTATTATTGTAAATTTTAGAAACATTTATTTTAGAAACATACAGATTTAAAATGAGTATTTAGTCCAAAAGCCTATAGATAAAAGAAACAGGAACTACATGTTTTATAGATGTACATTTGCATGAATATCCTCCCCATGAGTCTAAGATTTAGAACAACTTAGAATAGAGGACACTATATTTTGATTTTGGGAAAAAAAAATTAAAGAAAAATATTTTACATGTACAATGTAAATAAATAACATCACTTTCAGAATTCAGAAAACTAAAGATTAATGAAAGTAGTGTATATCCAACAAAGCTATTTTTTAACTTTGAATGAAATTTTACACATTGGAAAAAGATGCCCCATATTATAGTTTTGCAAGTGCTTTTAGAATTTTTAGAATTTAGCAAGTCTTCAAAAGCTGTCTATAAATAAAAGAAATTAATGCTTACTAAGCTATGATGTCCAGAATAAACGACACATCAAGTTGAACAAGTTTAGAAAGTAGATTCATTTTTGGGCTTCCTCATGAAAATTCTGTGACTGAGCGACACATCACTTCCAGTGTCACCAGTAAGGCCTCAGTATGTATGCCGGGACATACTTTCAAATTCTCAGGCAGTTCCTTAATAATACTTGGGAGCTTCTGTAATGTCTTTATATTTCTATCATAAAGATCCAATAACCAGTCAGTATGAGCACTGGTAGTTTCCTTATAACTCTTACAAGCCATAAGCAGTTCATTTAGATGTGTTAACCCTTTGAAAGCTAAGAGGAACTCTGAAGATAAATCAAAAATGGAACAAAAATTTAGCAGCATCCTACTAAGTAAAAATGAGCCAAACTCAAGTTGCTGGTGCTGGAAATGTTTTTCTGCTTGTGCATGAAAGTTTTCCACGGAATCTTCTATTTTTGTAATAGCAAATAGTTCTTCCTTGATTTGAGGTGATACCACATAATCCAAGGGCAATTCCCCCTTAGAGTTTCTCTGCTGTAAAAGCACTGGGCCTGTGAAAAACGAAATGCAAAATGTTAAGAGTAAAACATTTTTATTTTGGCAGTTTAACAGCTGTTTCTCCCTCTTTTCTCCCAAAGCATCTAGGGCTCTGTTTACAGTCATATTTTATACTAATTCATGTTGACACAATTAACTGGCTATACATATTGACTGTCTAATAAAGGTGCATTAAAACAAAACACAATTCTAGTTAATTGCCTAAATGAGATTTGCCTAAAAGTATATGCTTTAGTTCAACAAATAGCACATGTGGCTATAAATAAAGGGGGACAAAAAAAGCTTTTATGAACTTTATAAACTGACAACTCAAAATAAGAGTTTTAGTGTTTTTAAGAGAAATTAACAAAACAAGTTCATTTTAAATTCTGTAAAAGATGCTTAAGGACATTTCATGATATCACCAAAAGGAAAAAATATAGTGCCCCCTCTTCCATGACTCTGGTGGCACTGTAGTTAAAGCATTGGACTGCTAACCAAAAAGTCGGTGGTTCAAACCCACCAGCTGCTCCGTGGGAAAAAGATGGGGCAATCTGCTTCTGTAAAGATTTATAGTCTTGGAAATCCCATGGGGACAGTTTTACTCTGTCTTCAAGGGTCCTTATGTGTTATAATCGACTAGACAGCAGTGGATTTGGTTTTTGGCTTTCCAAGGCTGGTAGATGATTCTGGCAGTACAAAGACTGCACACATCAGAATACACTTTTCATTTTACCCCTAGTTATCTTCAACTTTTAGTATAGGTAACTGATTCACAAAAAATGTTAATTGTTCCAGATCACATCCATCTAAATAAACTGAACATGTCTAATAACCTATTTCAGAAAGACTGAGATAGAGTTTATCTCCTAGGTAGTAAAGGATGATGTGGAAGGGACACAACAATGACTCAGTATTTGGTCACACAGCAAACTACAGAGGTATTTTGTACCTTTGCCATTCAAGCCTTATGATTATTTGTTCAAACTGCCATAAAAATGCTATAAAGGATATAAAAGTTTTAGACCTAGTAGATATAATCTAAGGGTCCTATCATATAACATAGATCATATATTGTCAGAAAAAGAATAGATTATAGCTGATAAAATGCTTAATGCTGAATCTGATCAGGCATATTCAGTGGCCTGGCTATAACATATATTTAATATAAAAGATCAACCATTGATGAAGTATAACTAGTGCATAAGTTATGGAAAAAAGAGAATTCTAAATCAAAATTAGCCTCTCAAAAAAGCCCCCAAAAAAACCCAAAAAATATGCTCCAAGTTACTCCTTTAAAAACAATCAAACAAACAAAATTATAGGATAATAAAAGTAAACAAAAGTTTCAGAGACATAAAAATTCTTAAAAATATTATTCTCAAGACTGATTGGCTCACAATGCATAAATAACAGTTATTACAATGATGGTATCAAATCATTTGGCAGGTCCCAAAATATGAGTAAGGCAAAGGTAAGTCTGTACAATTCCCAAAGGACCTTGATAAATACAAGCAGATTAAATCTTTAGGAAAAGAAATGCACACTCATTTACTATTTTTCACTAAGGGCCCCAGAAAAATTCACATTGTTTGTTAAAGACCATTTTATATTGAAGAGCTGAACTTAATACAATAATGGCTCTTACATCACTTAGATCCTTTGAAACAAGGCCAAATATTAGCTTGGTATGTCAGATACATTGGTTGAGTAAAAAAACAAAATACCCAACAGGCAGAACTTTATAGTTTAGTAAACCTATAACACTGAAAAAAATAAAAACAGGGTAGAAGAACTGAAAATCGTCTTGATTATGAAATGGTGTTAGTAAAATAGGCACACTAAGGCCTTTAGGGGGCAGGAGAAGACTATAAATAACAAAATATCTTATACTACCTTGCAATATGCAGTCTTTCTCAAACGTGTATTTAGTAACGTATATAGTAAAAAGACATCTAAATGAAAAATGCTTTTTGTTTTCATGCACAATCAAACAGCAGTAATTACAGGAAAAAAATTTAGTTAAATTACAAGTTGAAATTAGCGTAAATAAAAGCAACAGGAAATTTATACAAATCTTCTGTTTCTGCATTAGAATGTAGTCATCAGTTATATTTTATTAATACAAATCAGTTCTGCACATTTTGATGTAAAATTTATATTACTCAATTCAGATATAAAGGGAATGTCACTAAAGGAACGACTTTGCTGAAAGGAGATTAAAAATTAGCAGAAAAAGCAGTAGATAAATATTAAACTCAAGTTACCTCCTTCACAAAACCACTATACAACAGTTATTATCATTGAAAATCTTCTCATTTTAACTTAATTGCCTGCAAAATGTGAATGAAGAAAAGCTATTCTAGGATATCATTTTTATAGTCTATAAAGAAATGACTCATAAAAAATAAGATTAATCAAGTTAGCAGTTATATACAGAAAATGAAACAAGAATAAAATCCAAGTAATCACAATTGAACAAGTACATCCATTTATTAAAAAGCTTTCACAAATAACTGGTTCACAAAGACATTATACACTTTAAATAAAAGCATTAATAATAGAAACTAACACACTCAGTTCAAAAACATTCTCATATACAGACTTAAATAGGCTTAATAATACAATAAATAAATATATATCATGAAAAGGCTTTCATCCTTCTAAGAAAAGATGCTTACATTTAAGCAGACTTTTTATCCTTACTTTTTCATTACTATAAAATAAAGGTATCTTTCCTCATAGATCTTAAACATAAAATGTTATCTACCTCTGAGGAATTCATCAGAAAACTAGATAATTTATCAAAACCAGTTTAGCATAAATGCACTCACCCCCATGTTGGAGTAGCAGCTTGCCAATTTCTACATGTCCGTTTGACAGTGCATCATGCAAAGGAGTCACCCCGTCCACTTCAGTGAGCAGATCTACCTCTGGACAACGTTGCAAAATTTCCTGGACACACACTGTGTTGCCATAGTTACAAGCTTCATGCAAAGGCGTCCAGCCAGCATTGTCTGAATTAGAAATCATGGCAAGTTTTAAAACAGCAAAAGTAGGACTTTTGGTAGTAAAGTACTGATATCCTACTTCTCTCATCAGGATGACTTTCTAGCTGCCTCACATATAAAAAAGAATGCTTTGATAAAAATGCTTGTATCTCTACTCTAAAAAAAATTAAATTTAAAAATACTAATGTTGGGATCTAACCAAAATGTGGACACAAAAAAAGATTTCTAATGAGCTATAAATCAATATATAATGGATTTCTTGGTTTTGCTAATGGCAATATTTAAAAGATATCTTAGGTAAGTTTACTTAGCTGTTGACATATAACTACTTAATAGCACAAATATTAAGACATTGGATTAGAGCACAACGATGTAGAGCTTACCTCTAACATTGATGTCTATTCCTGGTAAAGAAAGAAGAAGAATCAATTTCTCCACTTGGTTATTTATGCAAGCTCTATGCAGGGCTGTTTCTCCTGTCATAAAAAATTAATAGATTATTCCAGAGAAGACAAGATATCAACTAAAGAAAATAATCAAAGAGCATGAACTAGGAGATGTGGCCTCATGCCAGAAAATTATTTATTGAGCTTTTCTTTTGACTGGTTTAAACATCTCTTGCATTAAAAAAACCGGGGGAGGGAACCCTACCAATCCAAGAGCTTCTGTGCTATCAGCAATTCAGAAATGAAATTCTACTGCAAAAGGTTTAACACAGGCATTGTCTCCCCTTATCCCCCTACTTCAAGGTTTAAAGCTTCAATCATGCTATAAACCCTCACATGATCAGAGAACACCAAAAATACTCGGTTTTGCAGTAATAAAAGTTTAGAGTGCAATTGCCCTCTCTTAAATTTATTCATGAACCTACGTTAAATGTATGGTTCTTTTTTACACAGCATTTATAGCTTAATTCAAATGAATGTTTCTGGCTAAGCACGAGTGCCTCTACACACTCAAGTATAATTCAGAACTTCAAATCCATTAACAGATGGTTTGCTGCTTCTCAATAGGCTGTCTGGCTTGGCTACAACAGCACAGAGAGGGAGAAATGAAGGAATCTTAATATAAACATGCACACACACACATACACACACACACAAATCCCAAGTACCATTTAAAGCTGAACAAGGGTGACAAATAGAATGGCAAGTTTTTAAGGTCTGCTTTTTCTAAGAAGAATGCAATTAGTGTACGCCAGCTAAATTTCAGTCTACATCCATATCTCTTAAAATCAAAATTAATAACATGTAAGTGACAATTTGATGGTAAGGGAAATTTTAAAAACTTGTAAGAAATTGCTTGGAAAACAAATGAAATACTTAACCATATTCTCTCTTGCTACAGAATACTAAGTAACACATTTTTAAAGTGTTCAGTTTTACTTATTATCTCTGCAACTTCTACCAAAACATTTCTTTTACATGTATAGAAAAGCTTTTGAAGTTGTGCTCTACTATTTCTCAGTTCTCTTCCTACCTCCCAGTTCCTTCTGCTATTCAGCCTAAAGTCATTCATATTCATTTTACTTTCTGAAACAATAAAACAAAGAAAAAGGATACTGATTTGTGAAGTTAATATCTAAATTATCACTTAATAAGTTTTCACATTTTGAGCCAAATTTGTACTAGGCAATTATGAACTTACATCATGATGAAAGATTATAAAATCTGTCATTACCTCTGTAAATATCATAATGACAAGCATATCTACACTAAGAACACAATGTAGCTCAAAAACAAAGGGGACTTAGGAGTTTACTTTGGCCAGGTACAGATTATTGGAAGGTACTTTTATATTTGTGAGCTAAGAGGTATCTAAGTGGAAAAGGTGCCAAAGTGAATTACTACAACACTCTTCTTGTTATTCTATCCTTTAGGTTCTTAGGTTCCAGTATAGTTAGAACCAAAAGCCAAACACATTTCATAGTCTGGGCTCAGTGCCTGGAAGAAAAGAGTCCATATGCTTAACACAGCTATGTAACATAGCCTACTCCTCATTCTTTGTTCACAAAATGTCTAGGACTGAAAGAGATGAAGAGTGAATTATACTTTCAAATCAGAAGACACTGATTCTAAGCAGCACAGGTTGAGATGGATTAGAAAAGTAAGGCGGGCAAGTCTGGAATGAACTCAACACATGCTACACACTGTGATTAGTAGGTAGAGAGGTATGGAGAGAAAAGAAGGAAAGGAACACTCTATTAAACTGTGTATTAAACGACCATTTTCTTTGTATTCATGACAATTTAAGAAAGTAATATGCTATCCAATAAGGTATTCCCTGGATCTAGTCTAATATTTAAGTTCAAGTATTCATCAGGGCAAGTAAGCTAAACTTGCAAGTATTGACTACAATCATGAAAGGTTCTTAGCATAAATTAATTTAGATACTTGGAATACCTTTTAGATTAGTCTTGTGAAAATTCATCTTTGTAACTATAGAGGGGCAATTCTCCTTGGAATATGACAATTCCTCTTCAGACTTCTTTTTCAATCTTTTTAATGATGAGGAACATTTGGTAAGGTTCAGCTCTCTGAAAGGAAAGTAATACTGAAAGGTTGCTTTTCAACAAGGCATGACAATACATATTAGGTGGTAAAGAGTTTTTTTTTTTAATCTAGGCTCCTTTTAACTTAAACCCCCTTACTCATTCAAATCCACACTGCTTTCCATTTTTAAATTTATTTCAACTGTATAAAAACAAATTTTTCATTTTATTAAGCCTCACACTCACTCACAAATACCACTGAGAAGTTTATGAATATAGACTGCTGGGTAAAGAGAAAAAGAGACCCAGTAAACCACTGGCAGAAATAAAGTGAAAAGCTATCATCAGGATGTACATCTTTGCTGCCCATTCTTACTCTGATCCTATTCCTTTCTTCTCAGAGAACATTTTGGGTTTTCTGAGTTTTACAAATCATGTTTGTATAGGTTCCTCACTGTGGGGAAGTTATTATTAACAATTTAGAGTATTTAACAGGGCCATACATTCTAAAATCCTATCTTTATTACATAAAATTAGTAATTCAAATCATGTCGTAAAAATATATACATAAAACAGTAATTTTTATGGGTGGGGGAGGAAAACCCTTTTTTTTTTTTAAATTATGGTTAAGTATGCACAGCCAAACATTTGCCATTTTAACCATTTTGAGTGTACAATTCTCTAACATTAACTACATTTGTCACATTGTATAATTGTTACCACTATCAACTTAAAGCATAATTTGATAAAAATATGACTTTTTTTGGGAAATACTTAATTTTACTAGAAAGAAAGGATTTACTTTCTATCAAATTAAAGTAAATGCTTACTTTCTTCACATTGAGAAACTGTTGCTCATGTGTATTTACAGGTCTAAAATTGAGTTTTCTGCTAATCACTGTAATTGTTGGCATCACAGATAACCATAAAGTTAAAAAAAAAAAAGTATCAGAAAAGAACTGTACTCTAAAACAAAGCACAGTTGCTTTGTGAGCAACACTTACGGTAACTCTGGCAGTCCGTCCACTTGCTGCTGTTTAGCACCATTTAGCATTAGTAAGGCCCTCTGAGAGTCAAGGCAAGGCCGTTGTCCTATTTTCTTCAGTATCTGCATCTTTCCAGCCCCATGAACACCACTTTTCTCCAATGCTGGCAAATAGGAATATACCTGTTGCAAAATAATATTATATTGCTTTCTCAACTATAAAGATCTGGAAAGCAGTAAAAAGAAATTACTTGATTCATTTCACCCTTAAGTTTGGTTATATTTTCCCAGTTTCATCCTTAGTTGCCACTCTATCTTATTTGAACATGCTAAAATATTAAGAACGCTACTGGCTCCATATCATTAAATCAAGAATACATGGACAAAAAGGAAAATATCTTTTTGAAAATTATTGCTTTTTGTAATTCAAATTTGATACTCATTAAATAAAAGTTTTTTTTACTAGTCTTATGCCCAACTTATGATTCTTTTGCATATTTTTCTACAGGAAAACATCTGATATATGTACAACTGGTATTTTGTCATTTCCATTTGACAAAATGTCTTCTTCAACAGAAAACAAGTCTGGAATATACAAACAGTATAAAAAGTGTAAAAGTCCTTAAAGGTAAAAATTTGTTTTAATTTTTTTAAAAAAGTGAAATTTTTCTAATGACCAATCGTCTTCCATTTGTTGAATAAACTGCTGGAGATACTAGATATTAATAGTATCTAATAATATTAATAATATTTAAATTGGTTTGGTAAAGATAGCCAAGATAAAACTGGAGAACCCAGGATCAAAAGCAGCTTTTTTGTATAAGTGTGTATAGGATAAAAGGGAATAACCTCTGGCATCATTAGCAAATTCTGACTTTTAAATACCATGAAATACTATGAAGACTATTTTTTGGATCTGTAACTTTCCAAAATCACAATCTTACGTACTATGGCAAGTGATTAAAAACAAAAATTCTTGTATTATTCTTCTATTAGCAATCTTTAATTATTCCCAAGTAAGTAATTAAAATTTATTCACTGATTTTCCATTTCTGAGGTAAAAAAAGTTGTGGGTCTTATATAGATTTGAATGATCTATGAATTACTGTGTTCTGTTCTACTATAAGAAATGATTAAAAGTATTTTTAAGTTGAATTTATAAAATTACTGGAAATTAAAAGAACTAGAGTAGAGTGGTGTTTACCATTTTCTGAAGAGAGAGTGGCTCTGAAGAAATACTGATGGAACTCTGTAAATATAGCTTTTTAAAGACTGCCTCTGCAATAAACATTTGAAGCCAGGAGGAGGAAAACGAACAAATAAAAATTTCTAATTCTTGTGAAGAAAAGTCTGTAGAGAATACAAGAGAAATAAATATAGTTGTTGCTATATGCTATAAAATTTCTTCCTATAGACAATTAACTCAGTGGATTTTATTCACGTGAATGAAAATTCCTATACCAGTAAGATTTATCCACATAATTTTAAACAACAAAAAAATATATAATATTTCTATTCCTTGCCATTCAAGAAAAAATTGTTTTATTTTAAATAAAAGTCTTAAAATGACTATCTACGTATGTAGATCGATAGGAATAAATAAATAAATACTAATAGATGTAGAATTTTATCTATCACTATGCTTTCCAATTAATGTCAAAGATCTCTTCCCACAAAAGAGTTGCTCCTTTAGAAAATCAGTACTTGGTTTTAAATGAGCACCGAAGTATTTAATTTACAGTGATTAGTCTTGAGCTGAGGGGAAGAAAGATAGAAAGCTTCCTCTGACTACACCTATGAATCCTATCACTGCAGCAAAGGCAGACAGCCACAAGGTGAAGAAGAGGAGAAAGATAAAACAAGAGTGTGTATAAGGATTTCCTTAGAACTTTGCACCCATTCTACTATAGGAAAAGAAGTTATGATTTTAAATGACAAAACAAACAACAATAAAAACACCAAAGGCTTGATTGTCTCAAATATCCTCCTTTCAAAAACCTCAAGTAAATTATATTTTAATTGAACAGTATGAAAACTTAATAGCAATATGAGATACACAGACACAGTATTTTTCCACATATAACGCACCACGTAAATAATGCACATACATACAACACGCATAGCTTGCATAGGAAACTAACATACAAGGGGTTGCGTGGCTTACAAAAAGCCATATAACACATACATTATTTGTAATGTAAAAACATAGTAGATAGAGCTCCCTACTGAGTGGCAGAGTTCCTACAGGGTAGGGGATTGCTGATACCCAATAAATGCCCTGCCCTGATGCCTCATGGTGTTTCTCAGTCCTATACTTAGTGGTATTCAAATGCAGGGTAGTATGGTCGGGGAGCTTCCAACAGGGAACATTTGGCAATATCTACAGATCATAGTTTGGGATTGACTCAATGGCAGTGGATTTTTTTTTTTTTTGGTTTAGGGATCACAACAGTCCAATTCTCCACAACTGATCATGGGGATGACACAGGACTGTGCAGCGTTTCATTCCATTGAACATGGGTTACCATGTGGGCCCAATCAAAGGCTGCTAACCACAACAAGAGGATGTTTTTGGCTGTTACAACCGGGGAGAGGGTGTTACCGCACCTAGTGGGCAAAGGTTAGAGATGCTACTAAACATCCTTCAATGTCCAGGACAGCCCCTCACAACAAAAAATTACCCAACCCATAAAGTAAATAGTGCCCAAATGTGAAACTTTATTCTGGCAACTCTTCCCCTTGGTGCTTACCATCAGCCATGCACCAGAAGATCCTCCTCAGTTCTGCTAAATGCTGTTTCTGACTGGAACACCTCTCTGACTCTGCCCGCATTCTGCTTACCCTTAGCTTCTGCTTACCCTTGGCTTCTGCTTTCCAGGACCACCCAAAATAAAGTATGCTCACCAATCTCTCATAACACCTAATTTTTCTCATCATAACACCTAGCACTTCTCATCGTCTTTAAATGATGTATTTATATCAACGTAATTAGTCTGCCTCTCCCACTAAAAGCTCCAAAAAGGCAAAGACCATATTTTGTTTTCCCTCTGTACTCTATACGAAATGCTTAGTTCAATGCCTGGTAGAGTGTCAATAAAATTTGTTAAAGAAATGAAGGGGATGGAAATATTCTGGGGCCATGAGCGAAAACGTAAAAAATTCATTATTTATGGAAGAAGTTCATATAATTACGGAAGGGGTTTAAAATACTGATAGAGAGGTCTGAAGCATGGAAAAGGATTAGAATAGAGTCAGAAAAACAAAAGTCATTAAAGGGTTGGAAGAAGGTATTAAACACGAGAAGAAGTAAGTTTAAGCCAACAGTTGGCAAACTATGGCCTGCTATCTGTTTTTATGATAAAATTTTACTGGACACAGCCATGCTCATTTGTTATATATTGTGTGTGGCTGTTTTCTCACTACAAAGGCACAGCTCGGTAACTAGGACAGTCATTTATAGCCAAAAATATTTACTATCTGACACTTTACATAATAAAGTGTGCTGACCCCTAGGGCTAATAGATTAGGAATTTCACCTAAGTATAAAAAATAGAAATTTCAGGTAGTTTGACTTTAAAATACAGAAAGGGATATAAGAAAACTCTTCCTATCCCAAGTGTTTAGAAACAAAAGAGAATGCCATCTATGTGGGATAAGTGAACATAAGATCTGACAGAAAGGAAAAAAAAAGCATTTTATTATGTTCTTAGTATTCTCCAAAACAGTTACAAACTAACAGTAATTGTATCAAACTAAAATTCCATAGATTTTAATCTGAATATACCAACTCCTCACACATCAACTCTCTTGTTATCCAACATTTCACATTTACAATAATAGTAAAAAAATCTACTGTCTATTTACTGCATTAACCTGGGTTTCCTACCCACATCTAGCCACCCCATGTCTGTCAGGATTGCAGATGAAGCAGCCAGCTTTCTAGAAGTTCTCTTGTTGGTCCCATCCCTAACACTGCAGGAGTCACTGTTGCAGCACTTTGTGCAAAAGAGGTGACTGAAGTGGATTTTGAGTGAGCTCCTCCAAGAAGGGCTTGTGAGTGGCCAGTGGGGCACAGGAGTAGGCAGGGGTAGGGGAGGTTGCTGCTGCTGTGGCTTCCCTCTACTGAAAAGCTCTGGTGGGACCAAGTCCTGCAGCAGGAAGGGTACTGGGAGTAATGTGAGGCCTGGGGACTGTAGAAGCTGGTGGCTGCCTGGCTGCACAGCTCCTCTTCTGAGCAGCTGCTAGTCTTCACTTTCTCAGCCTCAGATTTCAAGATCAGCAGCTCATCACTCTTTTCTGTGGGGTCGTCCCTGTCCTGTAAGGAACAGGAGGTGGCTAGGGCTGCACAGGCAGTAGCTGCAGGGGGCATAGGAACTGGCAGCAACCCCAACTATCTTGACCCCTAGTACTGCTGGAGGGCCAAAGCCCCAGAGCTGCTAACTATGCCTATAGTTTAGCTGCGGGGCCTGAAGCCCTTTAAGCACCACCCTGACAGCAGGGTCCAGAGCACAGCGGTACTGCGGGACACAGCAGTTCCAAGAGTCTGGGCTCTGGGGCTGTCTCTGTGTCCTCTTCTTCACATAATGTGGATTTTGCATAAGCACCTGGTCTTTGGTAGCCAACCATGTCAATAAATGAGAAGATGGTGTATTGTCACAGCACAGTATGAATTTTGTACTTTCGAAACACTCAATTTGCCATAAATAAGAAGACAGAGCAAGATCTTTAACAATGATTTTTAAATGTCTTCATCAAAATACCAGTAGAAAAGGGATTAGAAGACCTGGTTCACTTGTAAGGAAAAAAGTGTGGTATTCTACCAGCTCCATAACAAGCACTTTATTCTGCTTATTAGAAATAGAAAAGCTATTGTTCTTATTTTTATTCACTTTATTTCTGTGATAAAGCTTAAAAATCAAGCTGTACTAAAGAGCAGAAAGTTAGAAGATATTAGAGTGAACCAGTTTTAGAAATATATTAAATTTTGAAGACTGCTTATCTATAGAATAATCTGAAGCCTAAGGAACAAGTAGTGTGTGTAAGGAAAGGATTAACTATACTTTTAAAGAGATATAATTTAAATCTAAACTGGACTTTTAAATATTAGTGATGAAATATAGATCCTGGGAAGCAAAGTTATCACTTTGTTGAGAAGATCACAACAGTAACATTAAGGCCTAGTTTTAGCTCAAGACTGTCATAGGTTCAACTTCTTGAGTTTCACGTGTGAAAACTGAGAATAACAATGGACAACAATGCCCTGCTTACTTAAAGTGAGGGAATTTCAGAAAATGAGTAAAGCAAGCATTAACAATGGTGTGTAACATGTAGTACTGTTGTTAGTTGCTGTCCTTAGATTTTGACTCTACATCTACAGAGGAGAACTGCTCCATAGAGTTTATTATTTCTAAATTTGGACAAAGGTTTACAGAGTAACTTAGTTTTCCATTCAACAATTTATAGACATTTTGTTTCTTAACATTAAGGGCAATATACTCAATGTAACAGCATTGTTTACTCCCTGAGTTCTCTGTTTCCACTCCCCTTTGCCCTGTCCCTTGCTGTATTCTGAAAAACAGAAAAAGCTGTTTTTCTGCAAATGCTGCCCTTTTGGTCTCATTCAGTTGATTATTCTGAGGCCTATGTTCCTCATGAGGGCTACTGTTCACTTTAAAGGGCTATCTGTTATTTGACTGCAAGGTGATCCGTGAGAGTGGTTTTGGTTCCAGGTTTGAAGGGTGTCTAAGTGCCACAGTTGTGGGGGTTCCACAAGTCTCTATCAGACGAATGAATGTTTTCTTTCCTCTTCTTCTTCTTTTTCTTTAAAATGATTTTGAATTTCATTCTACATTTTTCTCCCATTCTGTCCATGACCTACTGTGCTGCTGATCAGAGTGATTGGTAGTGATAGCTGGAAACCATCTAGTTCTTCTCAGGGTAGTGGAGGCTGTGGTTCACATGGTCCATTAGTCTTTGGGCTAATTGTTTCCTTGAGTCTGATTTTCTTCACTCTTCTTTACTCCAGATGGGGAGAGACTAATAGCTGCATCTTAGATGGCCACTTACTAGCTTTTAAGACATACATCACTACTCACTACAGTAGGATACAGAACACTATCTTTGTAAACTGTTGTTGTTGTTATGTGCCATCGAGTCAGACCCGACCCATAGCGACCCCTCCTTGGGTTTCCGAGGTGATATCACTATGGAAGTAGATTGCCCAACCTTCCTTCCAAGGAGTGGCTGGTGGGTTTGAACTGCCAGCCCTCTGGTTAGTAGTCAAATGCCTTAGGC